ACTTTAGTCAAAGAAAACTTTATTTCCATTTGCAGTATTATATTTGGCGGTATGGCTCTGTTCTGGGGCCCCTCTGCCTTTCCTCAGGCCTATGCAGAAAGCCTCTTCTACGTACCTACATGGAAAGCATAAAGCTGAGAGAGCACACCTCTCTGCCCTTCCATGCGCCTACATGGAAATCCCAATGCAGGGAGAGCAGCATCAAAGACAAACAGAAATGACATTGATAAGTCAGACACAGCATGAAAAGGAGGAGCTGGCGTGGAGGCAGGTTGCAAAGCCGCTTGCAGAGGAAGCAGCTAATGTTGCTGGGATGTGAGCTGAGTTGAGCTACAGGAAGACCGCCAGCCAGTCAACACTACTCCTGCCTATGGTTTATAAAGGCACTGCATCAAGAAATGGGCCACCTGAAAGTAGAGAGTACTGACCCTCATCCGAGACCGCTTTTATTGGCCTCACATGTAGAGGGATGTTGAGCATTACATAACACGAGCGCATAGTTACAACAAACACCCCAACCAGCCAACTAGAGCTCCCCTCACCAACTTCATTACTACGTACCCATTCAAACTGGTTGCCATTGATTTCCTACATTTGGAAAAATGTAAGGGAGGTCAGGAATAAATGTGCGCAACACTTTAGCTTAGGAGTGATTTAGAAAAATTCTCAGAGCAACTCTGAGCAAGGAAGAGACATAAACTTTTACCTTAGTGAGGAGGTGTGGCGGACTCTGTTGCTAGGTATGATGCATTCTTTTAATAGATGTGATTGGTTGTCACAGACACGCACTTCTGAGCCTGCAAGGTGAGGACACCCAGTGGAAATGAGATGAACTGCAGTGCTGACTGTGAAAGTGTTGTCAGTGCTAGTGTGATCACTCTGCTGATGGAAGGTTGAGACAGGCCTAGACTCTTAGATCCTGCTAAAGATAAAAGTTATTCACAAAGCGTCATTTGACAACTGGAAAAATGCAACAGCTCAGCAGTGATGACTTGGGCCTACCTCTCCCATCAGCAGAGCGATCACACCAAGTTCCAAAACTTTCAGTGTTGCAGTGTGACACAGTTTATTTTGTTTCCACTGGGTGTCACCATCTTGCAGGCTGACAAAAGGGAAACCAATTACATCACCTCACTAAGGTAAAAGTTTCAGTCCCTTCCTCACTCAGAGTTGTTCTGAGATCTTTCCTAAAGCACCCCTAAGCTAGGATCCTAGCTGGAAACTTTTTGGCTAAGTTAGGAGCTCTCTGAGAGCGTTCTTGTTTAAACAGATCGACTACAAAGAGATGCAAAAACACAACAAGGAGCCACAGACAAAAAATGACCCCAAAGAAATTTAAAATAACCACAAAGAGACACAAAATGACCTCAAAAAAATTTAAAATGACCACAAAGAGACACAAAATGACCTCAAAGAAATTTAAAATGACCACAAGGGACACAAAATGACTACAAGGGACACAAAATGACCACAAAGGGACACAAAATGACCACAACGAGACACAAAATGACCCCACAGAAATTTAAAATGACCACAAAGGGACACAAAATGACCACAAAGGGACACAAAATGACCACAAGGGACACAAAATGACCACAAAGGGACACAAAATGACCACAAAGAAATTTAAAATGACCACACAGGGACACACATTAACCACAAAGAGGCACAAAATGACCATAAAGAGAGACAAAATGACCACAAAGAGGCACAAAATGGCCACAAAGGGCCACAAAATGACCTCAAGGAGGCACAAAATGACCTGACAGAAATTTAAAATGACCACAAGGGCCACAAAATGACCACAAAGAGATTTAAAATGACCAAAAAGAGACACAACAAAGAGTTGAAAGCAAATACAAAGAGGACCATAAAACCAGAAAGAGACACAAAATTAGTTCAAGGAGATGCAAAGTAACTACAAAAGACGCAAAGCAACTCTACTGGGAGAGACAGAGATTCAGAATGACTACAAAGAGACAAAGCAACAACAGGCAGACAGCAACGACTTGGGTCTGCTGTCAGTTCCTTTCAGTATTTTTTAATCCTGTATTATTATATCATGCAATATTTAATTTCTTTAATGACTAGAAATATTATAGATTCCAGAGGAGGTTTCATTTTCAACTCAGGCTTCTAAATTCAGAGGTGGACATCTTGTGTTACAGTTTGGATGAAAATGCTCTCTAGGGGTCGTGAGATAGTCACGTATGAAATATGTGTTATGAACCAACACAAGAAAATTAAAAGAAGGCAATGTCATGGGTCATCCACCAGGGAGGACACAATTTTTATTTTGTAGAGGATATACAAAAGCTTCAACAACGTGCAAAGATATAGATATATATATTATAGTGAAAGTATTAAAGCTTATCCAGACAAACTACTAATACTATTTAAAACTACAAAGCAACCTAAAATAACAGAAGGAACCTCTGTAAACAACCCACCCATCACATCACATCACATCCTAAGTACTGTAACACATGTATGAAAGGTTAACAGGATTTTTGAAATAAAGGTTTTACATGCAACGTAACACACACACACACACACACACACACACACACACACACACACACAGTAACAACAATAATATCAAAAAGTGAAAACAATAGAACACAAATAAAATATTTTAAAATAAGTGCGAAGCAAAGTTTCTGGCCTGTTTCAGGAAAGTCACATCTGATCTAAGGCCAAAGTGAAGAGGTAAGTTTTTAGTCGACTTTAAAAAATATTTAACTATTTATTGGTATGTTTAATAAATTTCATGTCAGTGTTTCCAAAGTGACGTAGTTCTAATTCCATTTTCATGTGCTGGCTTTGTCATTGGGAGGTGGAGGGGTTGGTGCGTCACCAAAACCAGATGACATGATGCCATGCTGCAGACCACAGTTTGAGACCCATGAACAACAATCTGGATTTTTTTTTTTTTTCCCCATTTTGTTTTTTTTACAGGTTGTTGCTGCTTTTCCAGCTGCGTTCATGTGTGTTTTTTAGTGTTTGTGACACCGAACATTTGTGCCATCAAATGTCACTGTGTTTCCAGTTCCGTTTGTGCCACTGGATGTGGGTGTTTTCTATTGGTCCACTGCTGCTTTTCCAGCTATGACTATGTCACTGAACGTGGTTGTTGTGTAAGCATCATTGCTACATTTCCAGTAGCATTTGGGGCCTCTTTTTTTTTGGTGGGCCAGGGTTGCATTTTCTGTGTGTTTGTGCCACCAAATGAAGGTGTTTTTGGTGAGCCATCGTTGCACTTTTGTGCTACTAAACATGGGTGTTTTTTAGCAAGGCACTGCCGCAAGATTAAACTTTCAGTGGTTACCAGATGTTTTGACTTATAGCTCCTACATCTCTTTTTTGCCTTGGTGCTACTTATTTTTAGAAGCTAAATCATTTAGGCTGTTTGCAAAATTGTATCATGCTTGATGTGAATTAAACAGGCAGTTACATTGAAATTTTGCCTCTGGTCATCATTGAAATGGATCATATAATGTTGTGGTGGTGACTTCAGCATATTGGATTTTTATTGTAGCTTTCGTTTCCGTCTGGTTTCTGTTACCTTACCTTCAAAATTACTGATGGCTTACCAGAGCCTCTCCCGCTCCGTCTGTGCTCTGTGTCTCAATGTGACATGATGTGAAAGCATGCACAGGCGTCAGTGTTGATTGGCTATCACTTGTGCTGTGTAAGGAGGGAGTTTTAAAATACATTTATTTGATCGTTTATCGATGAAAAAACGTCCGATGCCTATTATGGTAAACAGTAGGTTGTGTTTACTCGCACACTGGGCGCCTAAATCATTTTCCCGGTTCGCACACACACATATATATATATATTTTTAGGGGCAAATGCGAGTGAAATGCTCACACTGCAGAGCACTTCTGCCCGTGCCAGACAGAAGCATCACCACAGCAGAAATCCAGCGCTGTGCCGGAGAACTTTAACCCCTGTGCATTTCCAGCGACATTTGTGATTGCACCGCCAAACATGGGCTTTTTTGGCAAGTTGTCACCGCATTTCCAGTGGCGTTAATGTGACCAAATGTGGGTGTTTCAAGCCACAACGTGATCTTTTCCTATCAGCACCAAGTGGTCTTTATGCCTAAACATAATCACGTTAACCACAGAATTGTGAAAATGTAAAGAAGGCTAATGTAATGTAAAAGTATCGTTGGTTTGCAGAAACATGCAATCCCAACATTTACACTGGCAGTTTGGTTGGATCATCGCAGTGTTCTTGAAGGCAAATAGTTAACAAGGAAGTTAGCAATGTAGCTCGGTCCTAGCTCATTAAGGACTCTGAATGACAGACTTATAAATGTTACAGGAAGTCTGTGCAGAGCAGCTTAACCTAGACTGATGTGCTCTCTCCTCTTGGTTCTGGTTCATAGCCAGCTGCAGAGGTTTGAATGAGCTGAAGTCCCTCAGTATTTTTTTTGGAAGCCCAGTAAAAGGTGCATCACAGTAATCGAGTCAGATTGAAATAAAGGCATGAATTAGCATCTTTCTGATTTATAAATGGTCGTACTTAAGCTGTTTCTCAGGTAGAAAAATAATCTTTACCTTTGACAAGGAGGTTATGTTTTCGCTGGCGTTGGTCTGTTTGTCTGCAAAATAACTCAAAAAGTTATGAACAGATTTTGATGAAATTTTAAGGAAAGGTGGATAATGGGACAAGGAAGCAAAGTGGATAAAATAATAAAAAAGTCTATCGTCTGACAGCCTCAGCAGCAATTCCAATTTCTAAAAAGACGATGAAAATAGCGCCATCTGGTGGCCGGAAAGCACGTCTTGTTCTGCTAAATATTGTTGTAATTCCAAAGTTGAAATTAACGTTCTGTGTTGGAAAAAAAGAAAGTGAAAAATACAAAAAAACATTATATTCTGTGTTGGTACAAAATAAAAACGAAATAAATACACCACAGTGTCTCCATGGTGAAGGCATATATAACCGAATAATGATAGTGATGCAAATAACCTAATTGTGATGCAGGCTGCAAAATCTGATGCGGGGGGGGAATATCACCTACTTGGCGGAGGTCTGCACTCTGAGTGCTTTTCTAGTTTCATTATGTCGTTGATGTGGAACTTGAAACTTAGATCTCAATCTAGGATCACACAAGGTTTGAAGACCAGAAACCTCAATCACTTTAAGTGTGCAGAGACTGTTTGTTTTAAACGTCTACACCCGTCTATACACACTAGCAGGTCTTTTTACGCTTGCAAAAACAACGGATCACAGTTTTTCTTTGTTCTCATTCACAGCAACGGCTCTGAATCATCTTCTGGCAAATTTGCCAGAACCTTAAAGCGGTTATAAGACATGGCTGAGGTGGTGTATCTTCGCTGGATCTTGGAACTGTTTTGACGAGGCCGAGACTCAGACATACTCATCGAACGGACAACATGCGTTTCCTCTGAAGGCAAGGCTGAAGAAGCACTTGGCAACGTAGCACTGCCATGTGTCAAAAGGGCAGGACTGCTGTGTCTGTGACTGCCTCTTTGGATCGGTAGGCCGGATGCTGGAATTCGCATTGCGACGCCAGGTTTTGAATCTTTGTTCTGGGGTAAATTCACAGATTTTGGATTTTCGCTACTGATTAAGGCTGCTGGTTTTGGATTGTTGTTGTGGGGAAACTGGTCTGGGAGTAGGTTAGTGGGTTTTGAGACGTCTGGTGAGGATTTGGAAGGATTTTTGTCAATCGTAGGTTGGTCATGCTGGCACACAACAGGACCCCGCTTAGATCTAAGGTCCTTGAGTTCTTCAGTTAGTTGGCAGATGATTTCCTCTTTGTCACGAAGAGACGACTCCAGTTCACTGATTCTTCTCAGATGCTCAGTGGTGGCATTTCCAGTGGGATCAGCCTGGTTTCTTGTGTTGTGACCATCTGCATTGCTGCGTGTTGAACTCTGTTGTGATGATTGTGATAACCGCATTTTCCTTCTCCCCACTGTCAAAAGAAAAAGGTCTCTTTAGCACTTCATTACTGACCTCTTAGGTTTTATTACTATTGTTACTATAAATTCTCAGATATAATAATAATAATAATAATAATAACAGAAATTTGCTGGTACGCTGTATCAATCTACAAATGCTGTTTGAATTAAACTCAATACTTCCTGTGTTGTTTATTTTACAATTAAAGCTCTGTATCACCACTTCTCTATACTGTCAAGGCTTTTCTTGTCAATCAGCTGCAGCTGGTTAATCACCAGGAGCTAACATGGCAAAATTTTGGGGTGAATTTGATTCAATCTAATGGAATCACAACAATCAGTTGATGTGGTAGTAGTCGTAAGTATTTCACATACATCTGTGTCTTGTAGATATCCAGCTGGGGAAGCTGCCGGTGAGTTTGGGATGTAGCAGCTGCAGACAGAAAAATTAGCTTCCATCTCCTCCTAACCAAAAAGTGTTATTGACTTACCAGAGTCGCCATATTTCTTCCACAGGAGGGAAGTTAATGCACATGAGATTGATCCAGTTACAACTGTGGTTAGTAGAACAGCGATGATAATTAATGCAGTGCAGGAGGTGCCCTCTCTCTCTGTTCTCTTGAAGCAGCCATCTGAAATGATAATCAAGATTACACAGAAATAATATTTTAGATATACTATATACTTCACAAAGCGACCACCTAAATAATTTGAAAAGTCAGATTATTAGGTACTGCTTTTTTAGTGCCATTAATTTTAACTATCAACAGTCACACTTAATGTACAAGTCATTAAATAAATAATAAATGCATCTTAGTTTTATTTTTCTGTCTTATCTGATGAGGCATTACCTTTTGGTAAATGGCGCCAAAATTGGAGAAAAGGTATTGTATCGGGCTCAAAAGGGCACATGACTTCGCAATGCATTGTGTGTAACCAGCGCCATTTTTACGGGCAAATTGTTTTGTTTACATTGCGTTGCGCCGGGAGAGAGACGTGAAGCGAGAGATTTAAATGGACCGGGCAAAGGAAAAGTGTGTCAGATGGTACCAAGACAAGCTGGACCCTGTTCCAAAGGCTCGGTACCTTGACAAAATCCAGAAAATAGGTGGAGTGGATCCGTATGAGCATGGAGACTGGACTCGGGATTTAAAAGCCCTGCCACCGTTGACTGAAGCTGAGCTTGTCCTCTATCTCGTCAGCAGGATAAGCTATTATACCGATGACGAATTTAGGAATGCCAAATCTTTAAGGACTCATGGGCAAGCAAACTTTGGGTGGGTGCAGGACCTCCGAATTTTACGCATTAAAGAGAAGACCGTCGTCATTTCAGAGGTATGTAAACTTTACAAGCCTCACTGTGTCCCACCTCTGTGTGGTGCTGCCTGTTTGCTTTTTTTCCACTTCTGCTACGTCACCCTTTTGAGCCCTACTGGGGAAAGCAACCACCCAACTATGACAGGAAAAACTGGAAATATCACTTTGCAATTGTATGCCTCGACAAGTTGCACTTTATATCCATGTCTGTCCAGACTCGTATGGAGCCATAACAGTCGACATTGCTTCAGATGTAGAGCTGCATCAAATTCTAATCAGTTCATTGTTGAGTCCAAGCAGACGTTTGTGCCAAATTTGAGAAAATTCCTTCAAGGTGTTCTTGAGATATTGCATTCACAATAATTCAACAGATTAGGTCACAGTGACCTTGACCTTTGACCACCAAATTCTAATCAGTTCATCTCTGACTCAGAGTGGATGTTTGTGCCAAATTTAAAGAAATTGCCTCAAGGCATTCCTGACATATCTTATAATTTTGGTGGTCACAGACCAAAATTCATCAGTTCATCTTTAAATCCAAGTGGACGTTTGTGCCAAATTTAAGGAAATTCCCTCAAGGTGTTGTTGAGACATCACATTCACAAGGATGCAACAGACAGGGTCACAGTGACCTTGACCTTTGACCACCAAATTCTAATCAGTTCAACTTTGACTCAGAGTGGATGTTTGTGCCAAATTTGAAGAAATTCCCTCAAGGCATTCCTGACATATCACTCTCACGCAATTGGGACAGATAGACAACCCGGGTCACCAGACTATCACAGGACTGACTCAGAGACAGACAACCATTCACACTCACATTCACACCTACGGACAATTTAGAGTCACCAATTAACCTGCATGTCTTTGGACTGTGGGAGGAAGCTGGAGTAGCTGGAGGAAACCCACACTGACACAGGGAGAACATGCAAACTCGAACCCCCCACCCTGAATTCAAACCAGGAACCATTTGGCTGTGACATGACAATGCTAACCACTGCACCACCGTACCGCCAATATAAATGTGAATATCTTAAATATAATAGTTTGACCACTAAATATCAACACGACTTTTGGATAACTACAAGGTTGGTTTTTCAAGGTCAAAGCAAAGCATGTTGGTTGTACTGACCTAACTGAGTTTGTCAGGCTATATAAGACTCTCTTAATAATGCCAGAGTTGGAACTACTTAAAAAGATACATGCAAATTGTTACCTTAATTTTTAAAGTTGAAGCAGTGGACTATTTGTCAATGGAGTCTAACGAGAGTATAGATGAGGAACTGAAGCCGTTAACAGTTTCCTCGTTGGAACAGGCTGTCTGACTGAAAGGTAAAGTGGAGAAAATATTCTAAATATAGCCTACATTTAAACTGATGTTGATTTGTTTCAGGGTTTGTTGCTGACACCCATCCACAGCAGTTGCTTAGCCTCCGTGTCCTCCTGCCTGCTTCTCCAAACTGGGGGCGTACTGATATTTACTGTCAGTACCACACTCCTAAGTACCTCATACAACCCCACTTCAAAAAATCTGGGCTATCCCTTTAAATGTAAATTTAGGTTTCAGATGCAAGTGGATTGTTAAGGCTCCAGCGTACCTGGTACATGAATCTCTTTGTGCCTCGTCTCGTTTATTTCAGGCAGGTGAACTCTGCAGGTGACCCTGTAATGAAAGACTTTAGTTTGGATTTTAACCAACACATGTAGAGTTTTCTACTGGCAAAAGGCAGCAGCTGAAATTGTAGCATAAATCTGAGCATTAAACTGAAACTGAACCTGTTGGCAGTCCGCACAGTCGCTCTCCTTGTAGCTGTGAAACACCGCGTTCTGGAATCTTCATCAATCTGTGGGTCTTCAGCAATGATGCTCTGTCCCTGAGCATCAACAAATGTTATCTCAGGCTGCGGGGACAAGCAGCTCGCCTCACACTGCAGAGTCACGTCATCACCTGCATCTAAAACCATTGAGAGTTTTGGCTCCGAAACTGCAGCTACAAAAAAAACAAACAAACAAGAATTACACAAAGTGTGCTATGAATTATGCATCCACCATTTCTGTCAAAATCAGATTCATTATCAACATGGACAAGACATCAGGGAGCAGTATTGTCTGGTCTTTGTGAGAGAGAGATATTTAAAGTTTTATATTTGATCAAATTAACCTTATAGGATAATGATGTAGTCAGCCAGACCTTTCTCCTGCCTGAGATACTGTAGGTCTGGCTATGTGAGAATAGAGTGGTATCTTCTCATCTAACTCTGGGCAAGAAACTGAGTCAGTAAATTTTCCGAAATCTTTGAGGAGACTGTAATGCACCACCACAGCTTTTCCTACATAAATAAAGGTTTTAGACATACCAACAACAAGCTCTATTCTAACGATCTCCTGGGGCGCACTCCAGATCATCTTGCATATGAATGTTCCTGCATCAGAGAGCTGCACGTTGGAAAGCCTCAACGAGATGTTCCCATTTTTCAGCTCATTCATGAAGAGGTTTGTCCTGAAGTGGAAGGCCGGGTCCTTCTCCGCAAAGGTCTCACAGCCCTGCCGGTACACGAGGGCGATCTTTTGATCCGCACTTATGTGGAACCACTCCACTGTTGGGAAGTCACCATTACTGACATTGATGTGGCAGGGCAGGATGACCGTTTGGCCAGTAAAGGTCAGGATCTTCACTGGTGCACTCACCTTCTGGACGTCTCCTAGGAATTAAAAACAAAAAACATGGTGTCGGTTAAATTCAGCAACAAACGGCATGAAAAAACACAACAAATGCTAGACTTACTAAGGGTGGGGGAAAAAATGAATACAGCATATATAGCGATATTGTATCAATACATGACACCTCGCAAATGCACATTTTAACACCAAGATTAGTGTAAAGTAATATCTCCCCTTCTGTTCCTGAGTAATGATGTTGAATTTTGGCCAAAAGAGCGTCTTTGCAGAGCATTATGATGTCACAGTGACCTTTGACCTTATGGATCTAAAATGCCATTACTTTATCATTTTGTCCTATTAGACAATTGTGTGAAATTTTGTCATAATTAGCATACAAACTCTTGAATTTGGGCCAAAAACATATTTTGTGCGATCACAGTGACATTTGTGCTAAATTTGAAGAAAATTGCATTCACAAGAATGAGACGGGCGCAAGGTCACAGTGACCTTTGACCCTCTACCACCAAGTTCTAATCAGTTCATCGCTGAGTCCAAGTGGATGTTTGAGCCAAATTTAAGTAAATTCCCTCAAGACCCTCTTAAGATATAGTATTCACAAGAATGAGACGGACACAAGGTCACTGTGACCTTGACCTCTAACCACCAAATTCTAATCAGTTCATTGCTGAGTCCAAGTGGATGTTTGTGCCAAACTTAAAAAAGGAAAAAATATTCCGCACAGAGCTCAGAGCTGAGCGCAGAGCTCCCATTTAATTTTCAGTCAAGTGACGTTTCGAGCAACGCAGGCTCTTCCTCAGACTTGTAATAGGATACAAACAGAAACGCCATCTTTAAATATCCACCGTAATCAGTGAGATGAATCACAGCTGTGTGCAAACCAGACATTTAAAAAAATGAAAAAATACAGACAAAGATGTATTAATATAAATACAGTAGTCCAGCATAAACATGAAGAGTGACCTTAAGTACACACATATCTAAAGTACACATATATGTAAAAACGTCACCCTACATAAATATTAAAGTACACATCATATAGTACAAAACCAGTGAATACAAAATAGCCCAAAAGGTCCATACTTGCATAACAAATAGAGGCATATTATCCAAGATATATATATATCTATACAGTACAGGCCAAAAGTTTGGACACACCTTCTCATTCAATGCGTTTTCTTTATTTTCATGACTATTTACATTGTAGATTCTCACTGAAGGCATCAAAACTATGAATGAACACATGTGGAGTTATGTACTTAACAAAAAAAGGTGAAATAACTGAAAACATGTTTTATATTCTAGTTTCTTCAAAATAGCCACCCTTTGCTCTGATTACTGCTTTGCACACTCTTGGCATTCTCTCCATGAGCTTCAAGAGGTAGTCACCTGAAATGGTTT